CAAGGGTAGAAGGTGACAATCTGTGATTACTGACCGTTCCTTTGTAGATAAAATGATCAACACTCATGGATATTTAATCTTCTGGGCAAACTGACACACTTTGGTGTCTATTCACAAAGCTGCCGAGGGCAGCCGAGTGAATGACCGATCAGAAGTGAAGTGAGCCGAACACCGTTCGGCTATTCACTTCAGGCTGGTACGGCTGATTTCAGCCGTATATCGGCTGAAATCAGCCGTACATCGGCTTGCTTCGTGTGGCTTCGGATCAGCCGAACATGCTCAGCATGTTCGGCTGACCCGAAGTGCAGAAGCATATTACAGCTCTAGATCCTTGGTTCTCAACTGGTTGGTCGCGACCCGGTCTTCAGTGGTTTGCCGCATGCCTTCCACTTTTCTAGGTGAGAGGCTCCCCAGCCTTCCCCTAGCACAGCACTCTCCGTTCTTACACTGAGCAGCCATTCAAAATATGCTGCCCGGCTCTGAGTGTTGACTTGAGGTGGGGTGGGCTGGAGGTATAGCCGTGAGAGAGCTCCATCCATACGTGCATTGCTTATAGCTCCCTCGCATTTCCTGTAGAGGTGCCTGGACTGGAGTGACGTCACATTCTGGCTCCTGGCACTTCTACAGGGCGCCCATGGGAGCTGCACAAGCAATGCACATATGCCGTGCGTTCCATTGCAGTGCAACTTGGGTCGCGACTTAATGATTGAGGACAAATGTGGGTCCTGAGGTTACACAGGTTGAGAACCACTGCTCTAGATGTTACAATGACTAGTGAATTACTGAACATAGGAAAGGGTACTGACACACAAAACTCTGGGCTACCACTTCAGTGACAAAATAAATATCTTTCACTTAAGCTGAAATGGTCTGACCAAATTCCATTGATTCTCCAATAAGTATATTAAAGACAAAATAAAAATCTTGGTAGTTTTATCACTGGTCAACATCTGATCATCTTCTGATCTGTATGGCCGGTGCATCTATGTGTAAACATAGAATATTGAGCCGCTGAACCTATATTCTTAAATAAAAAACAAAAAAGCTATAACAAGTCAATAAAGCTAATATGCAGTACATGGACTAGTAGTGGACTTTACTGAATAAAACCTATAAGGTTCTACTTTGGTACCCTTAAAAAAACTATTTCTTTGCAAAAAAGAATTATTTGAATTAGCCTGGATAAAGGAAGAAGAAGGTCCACTTAAACTGGCCACATATGTGGCAACTTAAAAGAGAAATCTAGCGGGAGGGGTTGGGCTCCCGGACGTGGCTCTCTACTATCGTGCGGTGCACCTTACTAGAGTCGTGGACTGGTGCTGCCACTCCACCCACAAGCAGTGGGTACGCATGGAATTGGGGGTGACCCCCACCCCATTATCAGGACTCCCATGGCTCTCGGGTCCCCTACCGGCACCCTGCTCCCAGCACCCCACGGTGGGAGCGACCCTCAGGATTGGAAGGGCGCTGTTCCGTACATCTCCAATCTCTCCATTCCCGTCCCCCCTCACCCCAGTGATAGGGGATCCGGACTTTCCAGCAGGCTTGGAAAACCGACGTTTGCGCAGTCTAATCGGCATCAACAAGTTCAGAAAAGAGAAATCAAACTGGCGATTCCATTTTGTGTTACAAATGCAAAGTATTTAAAGACATAAAATGGGGGTTTCAGTTGAGATTCAATGAAACCTGGCAGAAATATCTGATCACTGAAACCTGGTCCGAACCTGAGCTCCTCCAAATACAGAAGCTACATGGGCCTCTCTGCCCACAGCTGATTGGGCAGTATGGAAGCAGATTCCTTCTCTGTTTGTGAAGAGCTCCTTCCCTGTTTGGTTCAGTTCAAACTTAAAGTGACATTAAAGTATCATTTTTTTTCCCTCCCCCCAATGTTAGTGTAAGCATTACCTTAAATGATGTCTCTTAATCCGATCATCTTCTTCCTTACTGTCATTTTCAGCTGTCCCTCCGGCGCTGCTGCGGGTCCCCGATCCAGCGCTGACTCCTCTGAGCATGCTGGCACTTCCTGTCCCACGGTGTCTGCATGTGGGTGGACGCTATCCATAGACTTACCTTGTGTCTCTCCTCGTCTCCCGGCCGAAAATCTGAACTGTGCATGCGCCCGCCCCAAGTTTATTTGCGACACCCGAGACTTTTCAGATCATCGGACGGGGGCGCACAGGGAAGACACATATAAGTTTTAACCTCTTTTAAAGTGTTTTTAAAAAACGTTTTGGCATATATCTACTGCTTGCTGGAAGTAGATATATGCAAAAACAACGGAGGGTTTAATAACCCTTTAATCTCATCTCTACTGATCACTTATGAAGACATTGTTGTATTATTCTATGTTTTTGATTTGCTCTTTTAGTAAAGTGTATTGAAGCTGGGGATATATTGCTAAAACTTCAAATTCACAAGTGTTCGTATTATTATTATTTGCAACTATTACCAATTAATGTGAATACAATTGAATAACAATTGCTATGTGTATTGCCAACTTTTGAGACAGGTTCTCTAATTGCTAGTATCATCCAGGCCTAAACACAAGCTAAGGCAACATGGGTAATTAAATGACTTTGCTACAGACAGATTTACCTGCTTGTTGACAGTTACCTCATGTGCATTCCATTGATTTCAGTGTGATACTAATAAGATGACAGCCAACAAGTGGTCCAGTCTTCACTTCTATGCGCAATTTATATTAAATGATGATGACATTATAAGGTTGATTTACTAACAGCAAACTGGCTGTTCAGTTTGCACAAAACATTTTCACTTTGCAAAGGAACTTTCCCTTAGCTTAGTAAATGTGGTGAAAATCCACTTTGCAAAGAATACCCAACCATTTGCAAGGGAAATAAAAATAACAGTGTTTTGCTTGCACATGATTAGATTATGGAAATCAATAGCGCTTCACCTCATTCACTAAGCAATGGGAAAATTTCCTTAGCAAAGTGAACAGCCTCTTTGCCTTTACCGAATTAACCCCTATATATCTTCTTTCAGACAGACTGGGCAAGATCATTAATTGTGTGGCGCCATCACATTCCCCCCAACTGATTGTTCTTAGATAAAATAAGAGGCAAACTATGCTTACTGCTCTTTCACAAGAGGCATGTTTTATTATTAGTTAGTAACTTTGCAAATTATTATTTATCTAGATTAGGGCTGATGCACACAGGTGCAAATGCAGGCGCATTGGCATACAGGCCAAAATACCCCTGTACTTGTGGTGCCCGGGAGCATCAGCTCCATAGGAACGCATGGACAAAAAACGCTGTATGTGGGTGTGCACATGTTCATTTGGGAACTTATGCTTTAGTGAAGAGTTTGATCATAAGTAAACTTTCACTAACAATAATCTAGTCATGTTCTGAAAATGTCTAGATGTTTTCATGCTGGGGTTGTGGTGTTGGATTGTGAAATCTAAGATGCACTAGTAAGTGTCCTGCCAACAGTTTATCCAAAAACACAATACACAGACAAGCACATATAGCTCATATTTTAGTGTGTGTATTACTGACTATAGTTTCTTTTTCATGACAAATGTGAAAACATTAATGGGTAAATCACAAATGCTGTGATCAAGTACAAGGAGACATCTTGACAAGTGATGTGTGGAGCCCATCAACACAGACGATCTTGAATATAAAGTTGCCAAATGCTGTGATAAAGTACAAGGAGAAAACAGATTTCTTGACAAGTGATGTGCAGAGCCCATTAGAATGGACGATGTTGAATATAATGTTGCCAAATGCTGTGATAAAATACAAGGAGACACAGATTTCTTGACAAGTGATGTGTGAAGCCCGTTAGAATGGACAATGTTGACTATGATTGCCATTCTCAACTGTTCCTACTGTGCATGTGTCAAAGTAAATATGCAACCTGACTGTATTTGCAATTACAATTATGTAAGGAGTACGTTCATGTATATGCCATCATACTTAGGTAATTGTGATTCTTTTACATGGAGTTAGTACATGGCATGGCATGGCATGTATAGTTAAGTATGTGCAAAACACAATCATGAAATTTGGTTGCATAGCAAAGTTAGCACTGACACATTAAAAGGTCCCATGAAAGCCAGGCTTGGATAGTGACATGCCTGTATAAAGACACAAATCTGCCAGGCCCTCAGGTTGAATCTTTAAGTAGGCATGGACATACTTGATCTTAACAACACACTGGGTATGACTTTTATTAGATACTATTCATGTGGTATTTTATTGCTACAGATTTAGGGGTCTATTCACTCAGCTGCCGTAGGTTTTTCAGCGCGGCTCAGCCGAGCGAGGCATATGCGTTCGGCTCGACTGAGCCACTCGGCCAAGTTCAGGAGCTGTACAGGCTATAGTGAATAGCCCGTATAGCCGACCAACTACTACTGAACAGAAGGGGTCCTGGGGCCGAAGGATCGGCCGAAGCTACGGCTAGATCTTTCAGGCTGCTTCGTGAATAGACCCCTTAGTGTCGTTCAAACTCCAAATAGGCAAGCATAATTATACCACATGTATTAATGCAATAACATGCACCTAGCACTAGATATATTTTTGTCATTATAAGTGCATGAATGTTAAGTAACTAAAACTTAACTGGTAATTATTACCTCTCAAAGTGATCACAGTACTCCTACTGACAACACCTTCACCTGGTCTGCTTTGTGTCTTATATTGGAAATCGTTATTAGAAATGGGAAGTATGAGATCCTCTAAATTCAAGTAGAACATAACGCAGGACAGCTTAATTCATGTCTAATTACAGCCAACTCTTTTCTATAACATAATATATCAATTACACTGTATTATACTTTCCCTTCAAATTATAGCAAATAAAAGGAATTGGGGTACAGTAGCCATTTTTGTAGTGTAGATTAGAAAATGCAAACTAACTTCTGATGGTTGCTATGGGCCACTGCATTTTGGTTGTTCTTCTCTGGTCTTTATGAATTAGTTTGACTGCAAGTTTTCTGTATACTGCCTGTGCATCTATTGTCTTACCTGGGAGAGGTTTAATCCATTAAGTGGATGGCATTGTTCTTCTACTTGCTCTACTGCTCCAGTCCTCTTTTTCAAACGTTCAGCTTCCTGGGCAAGATATAAATCCAGCACTGGGACTCCTCTAGACTTAATATCAACCTCCGTCAAAGAATTCACCATCAGCATGACCCATACAGGTCTCTTTCTTTCCCAGTTTCCTGCTATTGCATTAAATAAGTAGTCTGCATAAAGCCCTTTGCCTCTTTGATCTGGAGTCATCCATGAAGGCATCATGAGTTTCACGTATTCCAAATGGCGCTTTAGTCTGCGGTAAATGTCCCTTGGAAGAACGCTTTGTAGATTTTCACCCTGAGGCAGCATTTGGCAACTGGTCAGAGCAGAAATTGTATAAGGGTCTGTCAAATCCAACTCGAAATACACAATATTACTCTGCTGGAAAGCTTTCTTAGAGTTTTCTGGGATAAAATCCCACACCCTTGTGTATGGGACATGAATGGTGCCAAAAAAGTATGAAGGAGGGTCTCGTTTGATGGTCCAAAGGAAGGAATTTAATTGGCTTTGCTGAAGAAAGAAAGAAAAAGAAAAAATGTGGAGCTTAAAAAGACAGTTTGTAAATGTATTCACATTATTACCAACAGAATGAAAGAAAAGACATTTTTGTTGACGTAACATGACAATATAACATTTTTTTAAATCAAGTTTAATGTTGTATCACAATTATGAATGTAAAAAATTAAACCTCCATGGTTAGCATGTGCATATTTTAAGAGGCTGACAAATCCTTATGCTTATTTTAAATCAATAGGCTGCATCTAAAAAGTTCTGCTTTAAGTTTTTTAATTATTTCCAAAATAAAATAATAACCCTCGCAATCCGGTATTATACTTCAGGTTTCAAGGAAGGTTTCAATCAGCTTCAAGTAATAAGGCCATGAAGCGTTTGCATAATATCTTCATCTAAGCATAATAACTGTATATGCAGTGGGCGGTTTTCAATTTTTACATGTTTTAAACTGATAAAAGTGAAGTTAATATGCATGCTTGTTCTGTAACTTAAATAGGTGCGTAAATAAATAGTGTATCTGTGTACGTTTTTGTTTCATAATTCACAGCTGTCATGTTTTTATATAGAGTACACACTGCTCATACAGCCCAGGCAATACATTTACAATTATACTCTGCTAACATGAATGGATTAAATTATCTATATGTAGCCCTGTACCAGGGATCATTTAACCCATTCATGTTAGCAGAGGATAATTGTAAATGTATTGTTGCAGGCACTCTATATGTACAAGTACTATATACGATATATAGCATGCCCTGCAACAATAGATTTACAATTATCCTCTGCTAATATGAATGGGTTAAATGATCCATAGTACATGATATGTAGCCCTGTACTACGGATCATTTGACCCATTCATGTTAGCAGTGCAGAATTGTATAGCTATATGTACTGTACATATTACAGCACAAATGTCCCGTACATTGCAGCATTACAATTATCCCCTGCTAACATGAATGGGTTAAATGATCCGTAGTACAAGTACATGTTCTGTACTATTATGTACTATGGATCATGATTTAACCTGTGCATGTTAGCAGGGGAGAATTGTAATTCTATTACTGCAGTGTACAGGACATATGTACTGCGGATCATGATTTAACCTATTCATGTTTGCAGGGCAGAATTGTGAGCGCCTCCCACAAGCTGAGCACCGAGATGCGATGAAGCGATCCTGCCCAGCGCCGACTACAAGAGGCACCGCGTGAGGCAACAGGGATCGGCGTGAAACTGTAAGTGAGGGAAGCTGGGACCGGGCTGGCTGTAAATCTATTGCTATAGTGTACTGGACGTGTGTAATGTATATGTAGTACATATATACAGCACACACCTCCACCACACTCCAGCAATAGAGTTACAATTCTCCGCTGCTAACATGAATAGGTTAAATGATGATCCATAGTACAGAACATGTAGTTGTACTATGGATCATTTAAAGTCACCTGTCCCTTTAAGAAAAAGTATCGGTAATTGGTATGGGCAAGTACATGAGGGGAAGTACTTGTACTTGTGCCTGAAAAAGTGGCATCGGGACATCCCTAGTTTTAATACATTTTCTTCTACTTGCAACTAGGGGGTTATATGATTATTTTGTTTGAGAGCCATGTGGGGGCTGCCATTTAAGACCTCTTTCTGAAAATGCTAGGTGCCTGGCTGTGCCTGACTTCAGTCACAGTCCAGAAACAAAAGCATGCTGTAAATGAGTGGTGGAACTACTTATGTCTATTCTTGTTCCTAGTCAGAGACTTGGCCAGCTTTAAAGTCAACCATTAGAATGACAGCCAGGAAACTAGCAGTCTCAAATGAGTATTAAGTAAAAACAGTCTCCATTAAGATCTTATAACCTCTGCAAGGAGTTTGCATATTCTCCCTGTGCTTGCATCGTTTTCCTCCAGGTACTCTGGTTTCCTATCACACTCCAAAGACATGCTTGAAGGTAAAATTGGCTCCTGTCTATATTGGCCCTGTATGTATGCATGTGATATAGTGACCATAGATTGTAAGCTCCTTTAGGGCAGGGACTGATGTGAATGTACACTATGTAAAAAGCGCTGCTAAAATTGTCGGCACTATATAAATACCTGAAATAAATAAAAAATAGCCATGTCCCTTTAAGGAATCTGTCAAATAAAATTTCTTGCTTGACCACTCCTCGTATGTCAACATTACAAATGCACACAAATCTTTGGTTCTTGGCATCAAGTTTTTCTGCATATGTGCAGACATGCCACAAGTCTCTTAGGTCTTGGTCACCTGGCAGAGCTTTTTGCAGTGTCTGTGCATGCCTCGGAATCCCACACATGCGATAAAACACAACAAAGTCTCTGCCAGGTCCCAAAGAACTGGCAGACACACCACAAATCTATGCCATGTCCGAGACCTGTGGTGTGTCTGTGCATTTGCAGCATTCAAATAGCTTGATACTTCATCCCACTGCCAGTAGCGGGTGGCAATCTTCATAATCCTTGTCTAGGTGAAGAATCTGGAAGTGGAGGAATGCAGAGAGGAATAAAAGGTATCTACTATGATAAAAAAAGAGTCTGAAAATGTGTAAGGAGGGAGGATGAAGCAGATGAGAGCAAGTGCTTTCTATGGATAAAGGTCTGCTTCAAAGTAAAGGTTAGGTATCAGGGCTTTGGGAGTTAACCATTATTTGATATGTATAAAAGTATACATGTTAAACCAAGCACTAAAATCTCATATAATTTAGAATATGCTATTGCAGTGTAAATAATTACTTTCAATCTTTGTAATTAAGCAGCTTTCTTAAAAATAATACTAGGTAATCCTGTTCCTCCTAATAGTGTTCTTGCATTGTCATGGTATCCTATGCTCTGCCAATGGAGCCTATGTAGGCTCTGCCAATGGAGCCTACAGGCGGCTATGCCAACTCACATTGCACAGGCATAATCCAGGAGCAAATCTGGAGCAGCTGTGCATAGCAACCGATCAGCTTCTCTCTTCAGTTTGTTCAATTAAGAATTGAAAGTGAAAGACAGAAGCTGATTGGTTGTCATGCACAGCTTCTCCAGATTTTGTATGCTCCAGTTTGGATCAATTCCTTTCACAGTGCCTTAGTAAACTAAACGATAGATAAACAATGTGGTGTGGTCAACACAAAAGAACACTGGGAGAAGTCACAGAACAGGCCCCTAACCATCGCACCTTAGACAAAAAGCAGATCCACAAGAGAAGACTAGCTGGTCTACAAGTGACGGGCCAAATTCCAACCCTTAGAAGTCAGTGAGAGAGATTCCATGATAAGAATGAGATTGCCTGGCCAGGCAACCAATCTCACAAAGGAGGTATCCAAACAATGTTAGACTCATCACGGAGTAATATCCTAAAAGCATAGCTAAGTGAACCCTGAGACGGGTTCTCAGAAAACTCCGACCCTGAGTCAGCTTGATTGAAAAAGGGAGGTCGAGTGCCCAAGAGCTACCCTACAAGGGTAGGCAGGGATGCACCCTAGACTGCAAGAAAAGAACAGAATAACACATGAATGAGCAAACACCATCCAAATTAACACCTGGAGGTGTGTCTGGGGTTTGACAGAGGAACTCTGTGGGACCTGCCTAACCTTGAGCACAGAACATGAATCTAAGAATCTCCTGACCCATCCTAATCCAGTGAAGTATCAATAGCCTTGCAATAAGGGACAGGAACCTTAGGCACACTGCTAAGAACGTTCACCTGATTAAGGGCAAAACTGAGAAAGGGATCTAGAGAAACATCTTTAAGGGACTATGGATAAACTACATACAGACGACCCATCTACAGGCGATCAGGTCCCATGAAGACCTCCAGACATACTCTTTTCCCAACAGAGATGTACCTTCAGCAGCGGCCCAGCATGTTTCGCCTGCTGACAATCTAGGAGGGTGCAGAGCCCTTGTCACAGCAAACACCAGTTAATGACAAGAGCTCACCCGAAGCGTGGTGTATAAGCACCAGACGGTTTTAACCAGAGCTCCTGATGGTGGAGATTGGTTGCTGTTACCAGATCGCCGACCTCAAGATCACCCTGAGAGGGGGCCTAGGAGGCTATGCTGTGGAGACAGAAAACCAAGTAAAGACTAGAGAATGGTCAGGTCCAGGCAGAGGTTGGCAATAGGCAAGGCAGCGGAATGGTCAGGTTCAAGTGGATGTCATAGGCAGGTGATGAGCAAGACAGCAGTCAGGTCAATCTGAGTCAGCAATGAAACAGGCAATCAGTAGTGTACTATAGCTCTTTAGCACATAGTAGGGTAGCTGGCAAGAAGACCCAGCACCAGCCACTTTCAAGGCTGACGCTTAAATACACCTTGGATCCGAGAACACCCAGCATTGTGCTCAGGGAGCTCTGGAATTTCTGGCAGGATTTCTGCGAGACTTCTAGCTAAAATGATTAAGTGGAGTAGTGTTTGTTTTTCTGTCTGTGCCCCGACAGCAATGTTTAACTTACCTCCTGTACAGGCAGCACTAGTAACTGGGACAGGAAGTAAGGATATATATCCTCACAGGCAGGGGTGTAACTAGAAATCACAGGGCCCCATCGCAAAATTTTGTATGGGGCCCCATGTTTGCTAGTTATGCCACTTGACGAGCCCACCTGATATACCGAACAGCCCACCTGAGAGTGACCCTGCAAAGCCCCCCATAGACTCTCTATACTGGGCTCTGCACGGTCTCAGATAGGATGCACACCTCTTACCTGCCTGTCAGCACTGTCCGCCTCCGTGGTCGACGAGCCCTGCCTACTCTTCCGTCCCCAGGCCCCGCCTCCTCTTCTATCGATGGGCCCCGCCTCCTCTTACATCACTGCCCCACCTGCTCTTAGGCCGCTGGCCAGTGATATAAGAGGAGGCGGGGGTGCTCTTAGGCGGGCCCCGCCTCCCCCTTCTCTTAGGCCGCTGGCCAGTGATATAAGAGGAGGGGGGGTTGCTCTTAGGAGGGCCCCGCCTCCTCCTTCACTGGCCTCTTCTGCCGTAGCTGATGGCTGTCACTGACACAGC